GTAAACGATTATCTCTTGATCTCTATAGGCAATTTACGAACTCGATTCACTTCTGTTATCATGATTCCCGATACATTCTTCTAGCTCTTTTTAATTATATTTCGTTTTAACCTTGGTAAATTATCCAATTGATCAATGCTTTTTCTCGGAAAATGATAGGCGATAATTTGTCTGCGATTACTATTGTTTCGACGAATTCTTGTCTCTATATCGTCTACTTTCGTATCTTAGACTAGAGTTTCAGTTAACACTTGGCTATATTGGTCAGCGATTAACGATTGCAGCTCGAACGTCTTGACCCTTTGTTCTATCTAGTCGCTTGTCTTTGAAGTTCTAGGCATCTAATTCTTGTAACCGTATAGATCTTACGACAGTTCCTAGATATCGACTTTGTCTTTATTCCCACTTGATCTTGGTCTCACTGTTTCAGATCGCATCTAATCTACTTCGACCTAAAATAATCTATTTAACCCTTTATAACTTCTGAAATAATTTGTCCCTTTTTCTTACCCATTTATTCTCAAATTTGAACTACACCGAATATATCATATGTCCACTTCGTAAGGTTATCGCCTCTAATCTAATTCTTCCTTGCCTAATCTATTTTATTTCTTAACTTCGAAATATTTGTTCACTTTTTTGTCTAATTAAATTTTAAAATTATAATACATCGATGTCAAATTCTATCACCCCTCTACCCTCAATGTAGCCCAAATCCATATCTTCCTTGAGCCATTTGTAGGTAATATCCACATCCTTTGTCAACATGTCTCTCTACCGTTGTATCTATATCTAAAATTCTCTTGAATATCTTGAATCTAAAATAAATCTTAGTTCTAAATTTTTAAAAGAAATCTTGTAATCTTGTGGTACACGCCTGTTCTTTAAAGAAACTAAAATATCTGTTTCTTTTCTTCTTTATGATGTTTGTTGTAATATGTAAATAAATTTTAGATGTTAAATTTGTACTTTATATTTAATTTGCATAAAGAGTTCTTTTGGATTTATTATTATAACGCGGGATAAAAATATTATATTTGAATAGTGAGAACTGAAAATAATTTAAGTTATGAATATTAGTTATGAAAAGAGTATAAAAACTCCAATTTTTACCATTCGTGAGCATCTTATAATTATTAACTTTTTTGTATTTTATTTTATTTTTTATTTTTATTAATCTTTTTTATTATTTTTACTTTTATAATTTTGTTAATTTGATAATGTTATAATTTTGAATAAAGAATTAAATTGATTTCATGATTTCGTGATTCCTAATTATTATTAATTTCTTTTTCATATATATATTTATTTTCTATTTTTATTTTTAGGTTTCAAAAGCCCCACTACCAACAATGTTCACGTCCATTATTCAAAAACAACTGGAATAAATATCTTTTTTTTTGTTCTTTTTCACCAAATGACTTATCTTCTCGCAAGTCTCGTTGTTTCTCAACACACCAAAATTATGATTCTCATAACTCTCGCAGACTTGTTAAAAAACAAATCAATTATGTCTATCATCAATTTTATTCTATCTGAAAATATGATTCTCATAATTATGTCTATCATCAATTTCATTCTATCTGAAAATATGATTCTCATAATTATGTCTATCATCAATTTCATTCCATCAGAAATTATAATTCTCATAAACGTGTCTATCATCAATTTGTTCCTTTATAAATTATGATTCTCACAATTATGTCTATCATCAATTTCATTCTATCTGAAAATATGATTCTCATAATTATGTCTCATCAATTTCATTCTATCTGAAAATATGATTCTCATAATTATGTCTATCATCAATTTTATTCTATCTGAAAATATGATTCTCATAATTATGTCTCATCAATTTCATTCCATCAGAAATTGATTCTCATAAATGTGTCTATCATCAATTTGTTCCTTTATAAATTATGATTCTCACAATTATGTCTATCATCAATTTTAAAACCCAAAATTATGATTCTCTAATTCTAGCACAACTTGTTTAAAAAAAACGTACTTTTTATTTCACAATTTTATATCAGTATATTACACTAAAATTTTTCTTTTAAAAACATCCTGAATTCCTACTTTTTTTTTCCGAAGTATTTCATATCCATATCATTATTAAAAAAAATTATTTCTTCATTCTGCACGCTATTTTCTTCTATCTAAAACCGATTAAAACAATTTAAAATAAATCTTATCATTTCTTTTTAGTATTTCTAGTATTTCTCTACTTTTTACTATTATTAGAATAACGTTGCCTAATTGCCTTAAAATCTTATTTGATTCAAAAAATAAAAATCCGATCTCTAATTGAGCTCGATTGCGGAATAAATTTTCTAATGACGAAAGCCGTTTCTCTTTATGAAGATTTTTGGTTAATCTACAACCTAATATTATACTACATTCACATATCAAATCCTTGAGGCTGTTTTATCTCTCGCAGCCCTTAAAATAAAAGTTAAACGTAAATCTTCAATAAGAATTTAATTACAACATCAACTATTTCCTAACAATAAATTTATATTCTAATCTTATTCGCCGAATTTTTAAATTATTATATCTTAGCAAACTATTAGTTTAATATCAACCTTCGCAATTTATGTTTCTTTTTCTTTGTCATAGTTAAAATTCAAATGCTTTTTAGTTTACCAGTCTAAATATAAAATTCCTAATTATCACCTTTAAATAACTAAACACAAACTTCTTTATATCTTATCTACTATGAATGCTACCTTTATAATTCTTTGTTCTTAATTTTAGATTTTATATTCTACATAAACATAATCTTATCAAAATAATTTTTCTTTTCACTTTTATTTGCATATTTTTCTTAGGTTCTTCTGGAATTTTTTTTTGTATTAGAATACAGTTTGACACTTCTCCTTGTCCCACCGTATATATTGATTTGTATTATACTGAAAAGTTGTAATTGCCCTGTGGCCTCCTCTCTCCAACACCATTGTCACAATTGGGAGATTTTGTCATTGGAAATCAACTAAATATAAAAAGCAAATATATACTAAAATTATAGTTGAATCCTTTATTAAATAATAATAAATATAATTAAATACAAAGTGAAAAACATAATCAAAATAAAAGAAAATTAAAATTAATATAAGAAAAGAAAAGAAAAGAAAAAAATAAAAAAATTAAAAAGTAAATTTTAGTTAAAAAAAATAATCCTTTCTCGCATCATAATTTCTCCATTATATATCCTTTTTCTTTAATCAACATTTACATAGTCTCCCTAGCGAAGAATAAAAAGTTCTACATCCCACTTGTTAAAACTGTTAAAGTATGAAAAAATCTACAAATATCATGCGTTTTTTTCCCATTTACATAGACGGGGATATTTTAATAAAACATTATTTTTGTTTACGAAATGCATAATGCAATTTTTTGTAAAGCAAAACTGCAACAATAATATTTAGGATATTTTCAAAATTATGTGTTTCTTTAACTTCTGCAGCTAATAACCCTTTTGCTTCTTTTCATGATGTATAATGTTTCCACACTTAAGTTTAATAATGATTCTAATGGGGGCATTTTATCTGATATAAAATAATCAGGGTCAAGGGGGACAATGTATTAAAACTTGATAGAAGATTATAGTCATCTTGTGTAAATCTATCTAAAAAACGATCAATAAAGTAATCAATAATTTCATAATAATTCTTTTTTAAAGAACTCCAATTGGTTTCTTTTTCACAATCAAATTGTAATTTGGTAGACTAAAAATCTTGAAAATTTATAGGTAATTTACGTACCCCTGATGATTTTAGTGGCATGAGATTAAATTTTGCTAAATGTTTTTCAGCTTTAATTCCAATCAAATCAAAAGAATTATCGCTTCTTTTATTTTTTAATATATTGATCGTGGAATCAATACAAATTTTAGCATCCACTAGATTAGTGATTGTAAACACTTATTTAGTGAATCTATTGTTATTAATATCTCATAAATTATAATGACTAATATAACTTAATTTCTATTAACGCATTGAGATAGAAGACCAGAGGCTTCGACTGTATCATAAGCGGAAACCTCTGAATTAAGAGTTCTATTAGAAAAGTAAAATAATACCTCACTGGCCTCAAAGTTCTCATAAATGATTCGAGATGTTCCCAAATAACCAGTCCACCTCTGGTCTAAAAGTTTCTTTATGGACTGCATATTTACAGGATGCGTTAAAACGCCTAAAAATATCATACAATGCATTAGATAAATTTAAAAAAAATTAGAAATGCAATTTATGGTTGTAACTGTCATCGCCTCGCTTATTTAAAAACATTTGTATATATATGTCGTATTGGGATATGGAATCTAGTGGGATTCGGAATCCCAACGTGGGGATTCGAGATCTTGAATCCCCACGTTTTTTTTGGAATCTTTTTTTTAAATTAAAAAAAATATTTAAATATTCCGAATCCCCATCCCCATGGGGACTCGGAATATTTTTATTATATTTTTTATTAAATATTTTAGCTTTATATAAAAATTTTAATATTTGGAGAATTTCTTAAGAATTTAATAAAATCTTTCTTTTCTTTCTTTCTTATTACTTTAAGTGATCTTTCTTTTCTTTCTTTCATTACTTTCCTAAAATTTTTTATTTTAATATTTGGAGAATTTCTTATGAATTTAATAATCATCTGTATACATTTTAATACAATATTTCAATTTAATGAATAAAATTGACTCGTTTATTACTATATTTCAATATTTTTATTTTGTATAAATTTCAATAATATATTTCAATTTATTTCAATTTATTTCGAATTAACCTTTCCCAACAAAGGTTAAAAAAATCACTTAAACTTTAAAGATGGGGTCTATTTTACCCCTAATAAATACAAAATTTAAGATTTTATGCTAATTTTCCTAAAATTGCTTAGATTTTAAGACTATATTTCAATTTAATGAATAAAATTGACATTAATTTAAAATAACAAAAAAAAACATTAAAAAAAACATAAAAAAAATAACAAAAAAAATAATATACCCGTTAAGCAATAACCCATATTTTAGGGTAGGCCTATAAGTCGAAAGGCTACATGATACGAAAGGCTAAAAAATAATATTGAAAATAAAAATAACAAAGAAAATGATTAATGTGTAATTTGATTGATTTATTGCTTTTTTTACGAGAAAAATATTATAATAATATTACATTATAATATATTAAAAAAATGGAAATTTTAAGATCTTTTCAATTTTTTTATTAATTCTTTGAAATAAATTGCGGTTTTATTTTTATTTTTATTTAATTTTTATTTTTAATTAAATTATATTTGGTTATTTTAAAAAAATGGATTATAATATTTCAATTTTTTTATTAATTCTTTGAAATAAATTGCGATTATAATTTTATTTAATTTCATTAATTTTTAATTTATTTAATTAAATTATATTTGGTTATTTTAAAATAATGGAATTTTTAAAATTATATGTATATTCTATTTAAGTTTTTTTTCAAAACTAAATTGATAGTAAGTATAACGATATTGTGAGTACTGGATTAGGGAAAAGGCTAACATCTTATATGCAATTTTGAATATTTTTATATCATTCTACTCAGAATTAAATTTCCTATCCAATTATGCTTAGATGTATTTTTTTACGTTTCCGGTTCAAAAAATAAAATTTTTGTCGAGAAAACGTTCGAAGGGAAAAGGCTTACATCTTAAGTTTAATTTTATAAATTTTTATATCATTGAACTCAGAATTGAATTTCCTATCTAAATATGCTTTGATGTATTTTTTTAAGTTATCGGTTCAAAAAATAAATTTTAATAATTTTTTTGTGGTAAAAACGTTGGAAGGGAAAAGGCTAACATCTTATATCCAATTTTGAATATTTTTATATCATTCTACTCAGAATTAAATTTCCTATCTAATTATGCTTAGATGTAATTTTTTACGTTTCCGGTTCAAAAAATAACATTTTTGTCGCGAAAACGTTCGAAGGGAAAAGGCTAACATCTTAAGTTTAATTTTATAAATTTTTATATCATTGAACTCAGAATTAAATTTCCTATCTAAATATGCTTTGATGTAATTTTTTACGTTATCGGTTCAAAAAATATATTTTAAAAATTTTTTTGTGGTAAAAACGTTGGAAGGGAAAAGGCTAACATCTTATATGCAATTTTGAATATTTTTATATCATTCTACTCAGAATTAAATTTCCTATCCAATTATGCTTAGATGTATTTTTTTAAGTTTCCGGTTCAAAAAATAACATTTTTGTCGCGAAAACGTTCGAAGGGAAAAGGCTAACATCTTAAGTTTAATTTTATAAATTTTTATATCATTGAACTCAGAATTAAATTTCCTATCTAAATATGCTTTGATGTATTTTTTTACGTTATCGGTTCAAAAAATAAACTTTAATAATTTTTTTGTGGTAAAAACGTTGGAAGGGAAAAGGCTAACATCTTATATGCAATTTTGAATATTTTTATATCATTCTACTCAGAATTAAATTTCCTATCCAATTATGCTTAGATGTATTTTTTTACGTTTCCGGTTCAAAAAATAACATTTTTGTCGCGAAAACGTTCGAAGGGAAAAGGCTAACATCTTAAGTTTAATTTTATAAATTTTTATATCATTGAACTCAGAATTAAATTTCCTATCTAAATATGCTTTGATGTATTTTTTTACGTTATCGGTTCAAAAAATAAACTTTAATAATTTTTTTGTGGTAAAAACGTTGGAAGGGAAAAGGCTAACATCTTATATGCAATTTTGAATATTTTTATATCATTCTACTCAGAATTAAATTTCCTATCCAATTATGCTTAGATGTATTTTTTTACGTTTCCGGTTCAAAAAATAACATTTTTGTCGCGAAAACGTTCGAAGGGAAAAGGCTAACATCTTAAGTTTAATTTTATAAATTTTTATATCATTGAACTCAGAATTAAATTTCCTATCTAAATATGCTTTGATGTATTTTTCTACGTTATTGGTTCAAAAAATAAATTTAAAAAATTTTTTTGTGGTAAAAACGTTGGAAGGGAAAAGGCTAACATCTTATATGCAATTTTGAATATTTTTATATCATTCTACTCAGAATTAAATTTCCTATCCAATTATGCTTAGATGTATTTTTTTACGTTTCCGGTTCAAAAAATAACATTTTTGTCGCGAAAACGTTCGAAGGGAAAAGGCTAACATCTTAAGTTTAATTTTATAAATTTTTATATCATTAAACTCAGAATTAAATTTCCTATCTAAATATGCTTTCATGTAATTTTTACGTTATCGGTTCAAAAAATAAATTTTAAAATTTTTTTGTGGTAAAAACGTTGGAAGGGAAAAGGCTAACATCTTATATGCAATTTTGAATATTTTTATATCATTCTACTCAGAATTAAATTTCCTATCCAATTATGCTTAGATGTATTTTTTTACGTTTCCGGTTCAAAAAATAACATTTTTGTCGCGAAAACGTTCGAAGGGAAAAGGCTAACATCTTAAGTTTAATTTTATAAATTTTTATATCATTGAACTCAGAATTAAATTTCCTATCTAAATATGCTTTGATGTATTTTTTTACGTTATCGGTTCAAAAAATAAACTTTAATAATTTTTTTGTGGTAAAAACGTTGGAAGGGAAAAGGCTAACATCTTATATGCAATTTTGAATATTTTTATATCATTCTACTCAGAATTAAATTTCCTATCCAATTATGCTTAGATGTATTTTTTTACGTTTCCGGTTCAAAAAATAACATTTTTGTCGCGAAAACGTTCGAAGGGAAAAGGCTAACATCTTAAGTTTAGTTTTATAAATTTTTATATCATTGAACTCAGAATTAAATTTCCTATCTAAATATGCTTTGATGTATTTTTTTACGTTATTGGTTCAAAAAATAAATTTAAAAAATTTTTTTGTGGTAAAAACGTTGGAAGGGAAAAGGCTAACATCTTATATGCAATTTTGAATATTTTTATATCATTCTACTCAGAATTAAATTTTCTATCCAATTATGCTTAGATGTATTTTTTTACGTTTCCGGTTCAAAAAATAACATTTTTGTCGCGAAAACGTTCGAAGGGAAAAGGCTAACATCTTAAGTTTAATTTTATAAATTTTTATATCATTGAACTCAGAATTGAATTTCCTATCTAAATATGCTTTGATGTAAATGGTATAGATAATGTTATATCTGAATCAGAATCTACACAAGACATATCGTTATTATTTTCATTAACAACAAAAGTATCATTTTTTATATCATTATGAGGTAAAGATAAAGTTGAATCTAAATCGCCTAAATTATAATTATCATTAACACTTAAATCAGAAGAATTATTAAAAGATACATTTTTTTATCATTAATAGGTATAGATAAAGTTGATTCTAAATCTATATCTAAATCGCCTAAATTATAATTTAAATTAACACTTAAGTCAGAAGAATTATTAAAAGATAGATTTTTTATATTATTAATAGGTAAAGATAAATCAAAATCGACGAAATTATTCTCTATTATTTCATAAGATATATCTTGTGTAGACTCATCTATAATAAAGGAATTATTGTTTTTATCATTAAAAATATTATCTTTCTTAATCTTTACATCTTCAAAAGGTGGTTGGGCTGATAAAATGGGTTTTAACAAAGCAAAATGGTTAAATATATCATTTAAGTTATAAATTTCAGAACAACTGGACCACATTAGTACTAATTTAGACGGGGTTTGTTTTCTAACACCCCGTCCATATATTTTCATTGTATAGGGGTTTTCCATTAAAAGATTGCCATTAACAGGAGGATAAAAAGTAGAAATTGGTAAATTAATGGCAGCACTTATAGCGTATAAATGCATTGTCTCGGCCCAACCTCCTATTCTTAAAATATCACTTAATAAATTGTCATAACTACTTATTATAATATAATTACTAATAATGATTTCATACATGGGGTCTTTGGTGTCGTATATATGTCTAAAAAGAATCATTTCTATTCCGGCCACAAGTCTGATGTATAGATGATACTTTTCATCTCCAAAAAGACCCAAAGATGCAGCTCTATATGCACAATTACCATCTGAATCAACCTTTTATAAATGAAATTTATAATTACATATGGGTAATATAATATATAAACATAATATTTAGTTGATGTATATATAATTACCGTCTTAAGTAGCCAGAAAAGCTATATTATAAAAATCAGGGTTTCGAACCGAACCGCCATACCGGAATTAACCGTTATAATTTTATGAACCGTTACCGTAGCCGAACCGTTATAAAGAAAATATAAAAAGAGCGAACCGAACTGTTATAAATATTTTAAACCGGTTTAAACGGTTCAAAACGGTTTTAAAAAATAATTAATTTTAAACCATTAACCTAAATTTGAAATTTGAATTTTCCTTGAAGAAATTTTTTGCCATACTTTTAGTTTCTATTCTGCAATAAAATAAATTTGAAAAATGTCGTTTTGGCTCAGCTATATATCTCGACCCATTAATAAAAATATCTATTTGATTATCGTAGTTAAATTAAATAAGAAATTATAAAAATATAAATTAAAAAGATTTTTCTCTAATATTAATATATATGGTTTATGATTAAATTTTTTTTTAAATCAAATTTATAAGAACCGGAACAAACCGATAAGAACCGTTATAAATTATAAACCGAACCGAACCGATATGAATTTTTTCAAAAAAAACCGAAATGGAACAAAACCTTTATAAAAGGGCAAAATAATAATATATAATATACAAAAATAGTAGTATATAAATAGTCATAAATTATATTATATTACCTTTAATGGATTATACCGCGTAAGTACCTGAGCTTGTGTCAATCTTAAGATCTCTTCAGCTGTTGTATCTTGTGTGCCAGTAAATTGAGGGAAACGATGGGGTAAAGACTCTCCGTAAGCCGAAATTTTAGTCAATATAGCATTGGCATTATCCTCTGTTGGACATCTAGATAATCTTAAAGAAATGATGAAAATTTTGGTATTTAGAAAATAAACCCCGAAAAAATTATATATAGTATTTATTATATGAAATATAAAATTAATTTTACTTACTTATTAATTAATTTTTCAATATCCATAATTAATAAGGATAGTAAATTTTTAGGTAAACCAGTTAAGGAATATGGAAGGATGCTAATGGAGTCGTTTTATTGTTTTATTTTTTTTGTTTATAAATTTAGAGTTTTTATTGTAAGAGAATAAATAAAAAAACATTTTTTTCAGACGGATAATAATTAAAAATATGAAAGAATAATTATGTCGGTGATTTTGTATGTAAGTAAATAATATTTTCAACAATTTAGAAAAAAAAATTATAATAAACAAATAAATTAGAATCGAATAGTGTTTGAATTCGTACGAATAATAAAATCTACCATTGCATTCGATTCGAATAATTGAAATTAATTTTCTTAATAAAATCTTACTCAAATATATTGACAAATTTTTTTATTGTTAATTTGATTTCAAACAGAAGGTGGTAATTTTTTGGGATAAAATGACAGGGCTAAAATACCTGAATTTTAAGAAAATATTTGAAAAGGTTAATAAGATGGGGAAATAAATGATTTGGGATATCCCTTCAAGTGCCTATTTGTCCTCTATATTATTACCCAACATTCATAATTAAATGAATATACGGTAATTAATATAACTTTCTCTCCCAGAAATAAGAACGCTAAAATTCATAATGTATAGTGTTGGTCGCACAGTAGGTTTGTTATGATTATATCAAATTCATCCCAATCATATCAACCACTCTTGGCACCTTCGGCAAACTCGCCTTAGCATTTTTCAAAAACTTAGGATCACAAATCAGCAAACTCTCAGAAGAACCACGAGAGGGTTTTTTTCTTCGTCAACGATTATCCATAGCGATTCACAAAGCTAATTATATCAGTTTCTTCTGAGTTTAATGATATAAAAATACCTAAAGTTAAACTTAAGATGTTAGCCTTTTCCCTTCCAAAGTTTTTACCACAAAAAAATTATTAAAATTTATTTTTTGAACCGATAACGTAAAAAAATACATCAAAACATATTTAGATAGAAAATTTAATTCTGAGTTCAATGATATAAAAATTTATAAAATTAAACTTAAGATGTTAGCCTTTTCCCTTTGAACGTTTTCGCGACAAAAATGTTATTTTTTGAACCGGAAACGTAAAAAAATACATCTAAGCATAATTGGATAGGAAATTTAATTCTGAGTAGAATGATATAAAAATATTCAAAATTGGATATAAGATGTTAGCCTTTTCCCTTCCAACGTTTTTACCACAAAAAAATTATTAAAATTTATTTTTTGAACCGATAACTTAAAAAAATACATCAAAGCATATTTAGATAGGAAATTCAATTCTGAGTTCAATGATATAAAAATTTATAAAATTAAACTTAAGATGTAAGCCTTTTCCCTTCGAACGTTTTCGCGACAAAAATGTTATTTTTTGAACCGGAAACGTAAAAAAATACATCTAAGCATAATTGGATAGGAAATTTAATTCTGAGTAGAATGATATAAAAATATTCAAAATTGCATATAAGATGTTAGCCTTTTCCCTTCCAACGTTTTTACCACAAAAAAATTATTAAAATTTATTTTTTGAACCGATAACGTAAAAAAATACATCAAAGCATATTTAGATAGGAAATTTAATTCTGAGTTCAATGATATAAAAATTTATGAAATTTAACTTAAGATGTTAGACTTTTCCCTTCGAACGTTTTCGCGACAAAAATGTTATTTTTTGAACAGGAAACGTAAAAAAATACATCTAAGCATAATTGGATAGGAAATTTAATTCTGAGTAGAATGATATAAAAATATTCAAAATTGGATATAAGATGTTAGCCTTTTCCCTTCCAACGTTTTTACCACAAAAAAATTATTAAAATTTATTTTTTGAACCGATAACTTAAAAAAATACATCAAAGCATATTTAGATAGGAAATTTAATTCTGAGTTCAATGATATAAAAATTTATAAAATTAAACTTAAGATGTTAGCCTTTTCCCTTCGAACGTTTTAGCGACAAAAATGTTATTTTTTGAACCGGAAACGTAAAAAAATACATCTAAGCATAATTGGATAGGAAATTTAATTCTGAGTAGAATGATATAAAAATATTCAAAATTGGATATAAGATGTTAGCCTTTTCCCTTCCAACGTTTTTACCAAAAAAAAATTATTAAAATTTATTTTTTGAACCGATAACGTAAAAAATTACATCAAAGCATATTTAGATAGGAAATTTAATTCTGAGTTCAATGATATAAAAATTTATAAAATTAAACTTAAGATGTTAGCCTTTTACCTTCGAACGTTTTAGCGACAAAAATGTTATTTTTTGAACCGAAACGTAAAAAAATACATCTAAGCATAATTGGATAGGAAATTTAATTCTGAGTAGAATGATATAAAAATATTCAAAATTGGATATAAGATGTTAGCCTTTTCCCTTCCAACGTTTTTACCACAAAAAAATTATTAAAATTTATTTTTTGAACCGATAATTTAAAAAAATACATCAAAGCATATTTAGATAGGAAATTCAATTTTGAGTTCAATGATATAAAAATTTATAAAATTAAACTTAAGATGTAAGCCTTTTCCCTTCGAACGTTTTCGCGACAAAAATGTTATTTTTTGAACCGGAAACGTAAAAAAATACATCTAAGCATAATTGGATAGGAAATTTAATTCTGAGTAGAATGATATAAAAATATTCAAAATTGCATATAAGATGTTAGCCTTTTCCTATCCAACGTTTTTACCAAAAAAAAATTATTAAAATTTATTTTTTGAACCGATAACGTAAAAAATTACATCAAAGCATATTTAGATAGGAAATTTAATTCTGAGTTCAATGATATAAAAATTTATAATTTAACTTAAGATGTTAGCCTTTTCCCTTCGAACGTTTTCGCGACAAAAATGTTATTTTTTGAACCGGAAACGTAAAAAAATACATCTAAGCATAATTGGATAGGAAATTTAATTCTGAGTAGAATGATATAAAAATATTCAAAATTGGATATAAGATGTTAGCCTTTTCCCTTCCAACGTTTTTACCACAAAAAAATTATTAAAATTTATTTTTTGAACCGATAATTTAAAAAAATACATCAAAGCATATTTAGATAGGAAATTCAATTTTGAGTTCAATGATATAAAAATTTATAAAATTAAACTTAAGATGTAAGCCTTTTCCCTTCGAACGTTTTCGCGACAAAAATGTTATTTTTTGAACCGGAAACGTAAAAAAATACATCTAAGCATAATTGGATAGGAAATTTAATTCTGAGTAGAATGATATAAAAATATTCAAAATTGCATATAAGATGTTAGCCTTTTCCTATCCAACGTTTTTACCAAAAAAAAATTATTAAAATTTATTTTTTGAACCGATAACGTAAAAAATTACATCAAAGCATATTTAGATAGGAAATTTAATTCTGAGTTCAATGATATAAAAATTTATAATTTAACTTAAGATGTTAGCCTTTTCCCTTCGAACGTTTTCGCGACAAAAATGTTATTTTTTGAACCGGAAACGTAAAAAAATACATCTAAGCATAATTGGATAGGAAATTTAATTCTGAGTAGAATGATATAAAAATATTCAAAATTGCATATAAGATGTTAGCCTTTTCCTATCCAACGTTTTTACCACAAAAAAATTATTAAAATTTATTTTTTGAACCGATAACGTAAAAAATTACATCAAAGCATATTTAGATAGGAAATTTAATTCTGAGTTCAATGATATAAAAATTTATAATTTAACTTAAGATGTTAGCCTTTTCCCTTCGAACGTTTTCGCGACAAAAATGTTATTTTTTGAACCGGAAACGTAAAAAAATACATCTAAGCATAATTGGATAGGAAATTTAATTCTGAGTAGAATGATATAAAAATATTTAAAATTGCATATAAGATGTTAGCCTTTTCCCTTCCAACGTTTTTACCACAAAAAAATTTTTAAAATTTCTTTTTTGAACCGATAACGTAAAAAATTACATCAAAGCATATTTAGATAGGAAATTTAATTCTGAGTTCAATGATATAAAAATTTATAAAATTAAACTTAAGATGTTAGCCTTTTCCCTTCGAACGTTTTCGCGACAAAAATGTTATTTTTTGAACCGGAAACGTAAAAAAATACATCTAAGCATAATTGGATAGGAAATTTAATTCTGAGTAGAATGATATAAAAATATTCAAAATTGCATATAAGATGTTAGCCTTTTCCCTTCCAAAGTTTTTACCACAAAAAAATTTTTAAAATTTATTTTTTGAACCAATAACGTGAAAAAATACATCAAAGCATATTTAGATAGGAAATTTAATTCTGAGTATAATGATATAAAAATATTCAAAATTGCATATAAGATGTTAGCCTTTTCCCTAATCCAGTACTCACAATATCGTTATACTTACTATCAATTTAGTTTTGAAAAAAAACTTAAATAGAATATACATATAATTTTAAAAATTCCATTATTTTAAAATAACCAAATAATTTAATTAAAAATATAAATTAAAAATTAATGAAATTATAAAATTTTTATTTCAATGAATTAATAAAAAAATTGAAATATTATAATCCATTTTTTTAAAATAACCAAATATAATTTAATTAAAAATAAAAATTTAATAAAAATAAAAATAAAACCGCAATTTATTACAAAGAATTAATAAAAAAATTGAAAAGATCTTAAAATTTCCATTTTTTAAATATATTATATTCCATTTTTTTTAAATAAATAAATATAATTTAATTAAAAATATAAATTAAAAATTAATAAAATTAAATAAAATTAAAACCGTAATTTATTTCAAAGAATTAATAAAAAAATTGAAAAGATCTTAAAATTTCCATTTTTTAAATATATTATAATGTAATGTTATTATAATATTTTTCTCGTAAAAAAAGTAATAAATCAATCAAATTACACATTAATCATTTTCTTTGTTATTTTTATTTTCAATATTATTTTTTAGCCTTTCGTATCATGCAGCCTTTCGACTTTTAGACCTTGCGCATATTTTAATTTTTCTTTCTTTCTTATTACTTTCCTAAAATTTTTGAAAAG